GTGGATTCGACCACTTAGTATCTCTTCACCCATCCTCCCCTCCTGGCCCCTTAATACCAGCACACTATGCCAGTTGCCCCTCCTGCCCTCTCCCCAGCGCTCACGCAATGGCTTCAGGCTCAGCTTCATTCTGGTTATTGGGTTTCCTTGACTTTTTGAGGCAGGAGTCCCTGGCCTATTTGTAGCTTGTTGGTCACAAGGTGCCATATGCTGGTGTGGTCCCATTTACCACAAGTCTGCACGTACAGAGTGTGGGTTGCTGTCTGAGCATGCAAGGGGACTTCATAGAAATATTCCATTATTCTTTCAATCCATTTTTCTACAAACTTCTTGAAGTCTCCTTGTATGTGCATGAAGATCTTGAGTTAGTCATCCCTATTGCCCATACTGTGCGCCTCTGGGCGTGAGTCTTGGAGGACTCCCTTTCACGCTATAGAATTTCGGATTTCTCAACTTTCCCAGGCCAAAGCCAGCCTTGTTTTATTAGCTCTCTCCATGGTTTGGAGCAGGGTGGGGATGCCTGATCCCCTGTATATGGGAAGTGGCTTTAACACATACCACTCCCTAGTCCCCAAAACTTCTGTTTGACACCTCCTGCTAAGATGTGCTGCCAGTTTTCAGCACCCTACGAACCAGCTTCCCACCATATTTCCATCTCTGCTTGAGAACTTTACCAAACAAATACCTCTTGGCAAGGAGGAAGGGGCAGTAAACTGTCTCCTCCAAACCTTCCTCTGGGTTCTCATGAGATGAGGTCTCTAGGGAGATGTCCCACAATGCTGACTTTAAGTGAAAAATAAGCAAATCAGCCTGGATGTGTTAAGGAACAAGGACTTGAGGAATTCTCATAAAAGGCCTTCTGAGTCAGCCAGGTTTGTGGGCTCTAACCCCAGCACTGAGCAGTGGGACACCCTGCTGAGGAAGGTAGAATACAGCCCTACTAACTAACCTGTTGACCAGAATGAAGATGAGCATGGAGCCAGGAGTCTAGTTAGGAAACCGTGTAAGCTCTGGGGACAGGGGTCAGAGGAGGGGCTGGCATAGTAACCTGATATTTTCTCTCAGCCTGAATTGCTTTACTCTTAGTACAGACTTCTAACCCCACTATCCTCCCCCTTTAATTCTTTCTGAATTCCAAGATGAGTCCAATGGTTGTGTTCAATGACAATATTGAGAATAGCTTCCAATCCCAAGAGAGAACCCAAGAGTAGGTTCGAGGCAATCAGGGGGATGAGGAGGAGGCTGGAATTGAAAGACACCTAGGAGTGTCTGAGACCTTCTGAGGTACAGAAAGAATTCCTGGCCCTCTCGTGAAAGCTTCTTCCATAGCATTTCCACAAGCATCTGTTGCATGTCTGTTATGTGTAAAACACGTGGCATTGTGAGGGGAACAAAAAAGGCCTGAGTCCAAGAGCTCACCCCTTAGTGAGGAAATGGATGTCCCAGTCCTGAGTGCTGGTGTGGTGTTGTAGGTTAATGCACTGGACTGCAAAGTCGGTTTGAACCACAAGGTTGGTGGTTCAAGCTCACCAACTGTGCCTCGGAAACCCTATACAGGGTCACTATAGGTCAGAACTGACTCCACAGCACTTAACGACAACAACAACAATGTTTTGAAAGAGTTGAGGTGGTGTCGTAGGTTGTACATTGGGCTGTTAACCACAGAGTCGGTGGTGGCTGGTGGCTGGTGGCTATGTGCCGTGGAGTTGGTTCCGACTCATAGCGACCCTGTACAAGGTTTCCGAAGCTATAAATCATTACAGGAGCCGAATGCTTCATCTTTCTCCCACGAAACAACTGGTAGTTTTGAACTGCTGACCTTGCGTTTCACAGCCCAATTCATAACCACTACACTATGCTACGCCACAAACTCGATAGTTGTACTGGTAAACCCCAGTCATTCTGCAAGAAAGAGATGAGGCTGTCTTCTCCCATGAAGATTTATAGCCAAGGAAAGCCTAGGGTTGTTATGAGTCAGAATTGACTTGATGCCAGTAGGTTTGATAGTGTTTTGAAAAGAGAGAATGTCATTCCAAGTGGAAAGGGCTATGAAGGAGGTAGGCATGGAGTTGGACCTAGACTGAAGAGTAGGAACTAAGTAGACAAACTTAGGAAGAATGGTCTGTCTAGGAAAAGGAAGAAATTGAATAGTTTCAGAGCCAGGAATGATGGGGTGCTGAGGTTAGTAGCCGATAGAGTGATGTACTTGGAGGACAATGTTCCTAAAGCAAGTAAGTAGAAGGTTCTTTTACAAAGTTTAAACCTCATCCTGCAGGTCTATAGTCTTCAAAAGATTTTTTCAGATGTAAAGCCATTTTTCCAAACAAAACATATGTGTGAAACAATACATGAGACAAAAAAGTAGAGAATCCTGGTTTAAAGGCAAGATGAGAGCCTGGAGCTTCCCCTAACCCCTCTCTGTCCCAGGAACCCCCTGTGATACACACACAATTGTGGATACACTTTAAAGAAAGTCAATAGGGTCATGCTCCCTGCAATACTTTGCAACTGGTTTTCTGAAATCTAGCAATATGTTTTCAACATTTTTCCCTAAGAGAACATGTGGATAAGCCCTGTTGCATTTGGAGCATGCCACTGTATTCTGTTGTATGAATGCACTTGTTTGTTGTTGTTGTTAAGTGCCGTCAAGTCGGTTCCAAGGAGCCCCTGGTGACCTTGAACCACCGACCTTTTGGTGACTTCACTAAGGCAGACTTATTCCAGTCTTCTTTTGATGAGCTTTTATGATAAACATGACTTTTCCCTATAATTGACTGTGCAAGTAAATGTGAAATTGAAGAAGATAAAAAGAAAAAGAAAACCACTGTCTATAGGTGGCAGAGAGACAGTGAAGGACTTTAAATTGGACACTGGTGGGAGGATGGGAAGGCTCCCCTGTCCTCCACGTAGGAAATAGACAGGAGTGGAGTTAAGGTGGCAGCAACGGAACCGTGGAGAGAGCGTAAGCTGAGCATTAGGGTGCAAGAGGCAGAGGGGCACTGGGCAGGGGTTGCAGATGGCTCTGCCATTTCACTAACAGATCCCCCACCAGGACCCCTGGATGGCAAGCAAGTCCTTTTGGTAACTAGTACAATCACCCCCTGCTTAGGTTCGCCACAAGCAGCCCCACAAGACCACCTGGGGGAAAATACCAGATCCCATCCTCATCCTCCTGGAGTTCATAATTTATGTTATTGTTGTTAAGTGCCATAGAATTGGTTCTGATTCATAGTCACCCTGTACAGAGTTTCTGAGGAGCAGCTGGTGGGTTTGAACTGCCGACCTTGTGGTTCACAGTCCAGTGCTAATCCACAGTGTCACACCAGCTCACATCAGTTAGCTATAATTGGATTTGAATTGCTGTGGGAGGGGACTGGCTAGGGAGGGGTGGGAAGAACAGAGCTGTGGGGGGAGCAGGTGCAGCGGAACAGCTGTGAGTGAAAGGTATGAAAACAGGCACCTTGTCTTCCTTTGTGGTTAGCTGGGTAAACAACCTGAGTGCTGAAGAGGGGGAGTTGGGGGAGTGGAAGTTAAGGAGGAGGGGACTTCCAGAGATGTAGCAGGCACGCCCCCTCCACTTGGAACAGGCTGCTTACCTCAGCCCTGAGCCCAGGTCTCCCTGGGTCCACTCTCTTCCTGCTGTCTCTCTCTGCCTCTGGATTTTTCTCTTCTGAAGCTCTCCTTGCTGTGGACTGAGAGCAGGAAGCGGGTTTATTAGTGATGGCAAGTAGCAGAGAGCAGTTTATCTATTGATTTCCCTAGTCACCCTTGGGGGGGGAAGTCCAGGCAGGGCTGCTCAGTGGAGGAAATATTGGCTCTAGAGGTAGACAAACCTGAAATTTAACAACTCTAGGCTCTTGGCCTCTGTAAGACAGGAATAGTATTATATACCTTGAGTTTCTTATACAGACTAAATGAAAAAGACCCAAGAATCACCTAGCAGAAGGCCCGGCATCCTCAGTAATTGTATTGTCACAATTACAATCATAACGACCAGTCAGGAATAGAGACAAGTAGAGAGGAAACCAGTAAGCCCCGGTAGTCTCCCTACCCCCAATAGGATCCAGGCTTCAGTGCCCACTATTCAGAATCAGAAGAGATGACATCTCCTCCCACCCAGATCCTACCTCAGAATTGAAGCCCTGATTTCAGACCCTGGGCCTACAGCCTCCCATATACATAGACACACAAAATAACAGAGTTTACAAACTACATCCACACCATGCACATATCTCCTTTCATATTATACTACCTTGTAAAGAATTAAGGAGCCCTGGTGGTATAGTGTGTTAAATGTTGGACTGCTAACTGCAAGGTTGGTAGTTCAAACCCACCAGCCACTCTGTGGGAGAAACAAGAGGCTGTCGGTTCCCACAAAGATTTAGTCTTGGAAGCCCTAGGGAGCAGTTCCATCCTGACCTACAGGGTCACTATGAGTCAGAATCAACTCAATAGCAGTGGGTTCGTTGGGTTGGGTTGGGTTGGGTTGTAAGAAATTAACCCTATCTATACAGGGTCGCTATGCATTAGAACCAACTCACCAGCACTTAACAATGACAACAACAACCAATCAGAAGGAGTCCCTAGATGGTTCAGACATTTAGCTGCTAACCAAAAGATTGGAGGTTTGAGTCCACCCAGCAGTGCCTTGTAAGAAAGGCCTGGTGATCTACTTCCAAAAAAAATCAGCCATTGAAAACCCAGTGGAGCACAGTTCTACTCTGACACACATAGATTCTCCATGAGTCCAAGCCCGCTCAGTGACAACTGGTTTGGTTTATAGATGTCTGAAGTTAGAAGGAGCCAAGTGTTTTGTCCAAAGACACACCAAGGAAAACTGGGATTTGGCCAGTGGCACAAGTAAAGGGACAAAAAGCAGTTATCCTGGGGGTAGAGGAAAGGAAAGATAGGAAAAAGAAGAAATAAGGGGTCCGTTTTCCTCTTGGAGAATAAAGACCGAATTCTCAGTTCTCACCCTCCTGTCTCCCCTGTCCTTGCAGTACAAGGATTATGGCAACTACAGTGACAGCACGATGTCCCCGAAGGAAAACCACTTATGCTCCACCGTTGAAGGGCCCCTACTGGCCTCCTTCAAGGCCACGTTTATGCCGGTGGCTTACGGCTTCATCTTCCTGCTGGGCATGATGGGCAACATTGTGGTGCTGGTGATTCTGGAGCGTCACCGGCACACACGCAGCTCCACGGAAACCTTCCTATTCCACCTGGCAGTGACTGACCTCCTCCTAGTCTTCATCCTGCCCTTTGCTGTGGCTGAGGGCTCCATAGGCTGGATCCTGGGCACCTTCCTCTGCAAAACTGTGATAGCGCTGCACAAAGTCAACTTCTACTGCAGCAGCCTGCTCCTAGCCTGCATTGCTGTAGACCGCTACCTGGCCATTGTTCATGCTGTCCACACCTACCGTCACCGTCGCCTCCTCTCCATTCACATCACCTGTGCCACCATCTGGCTGGCGGGCTTCATCTTTGCCTTGCCAGAGCTTCTTTTCGCCAAGGTCAGCCAACACCATCACAACAATTCCCTGCCACGTTGCATCTTCTCCCAAGAGAACCAAGCAGAGAGCAATGCCTGGTTCACCTCCCGCTTCCTCTATCACGTCGGTGGGTTCCTACTGCCAATGCTGGTGATGTGCTGGTGCTACGTGGGAGTGGTGCACAAGCTGTGCCAGGCACAACGGCGCCCTCAGCGGCAGAAGGCAGTCAGGGTAGCCATTCTGGTGACAAGCGTCTTCTTTCTCTGCTGGTCTCCCTACCACATCATCATTTTCCTGGACACCCTGGTGAGGCTGAAGGCCATGGACAATTGGTGCGAACTGAATGGCTATCTCTCTGTGGCCATCACAGTAAGCGAGTTCCTGGGCCTGGCCCACTGCTGCCTCAACCCCGTGCTCTACACTTTCGCGGGTGTCAAGTTCCGTAGTGACCTGTCTCGGCTTCTCACCAAGCTGGGCTGTGCCGGCCCCGCGTCTCTTTGCCAGCTTTTTCCAAATTGGCGCAAGAGCAGTCTCTCTGAGTCAGAGAATGCCACATCCCTCACCACCTTCTAGGTCCTTTTGTATTTGCTTTCCTTGCAGGAGATACAGGGACTCTGGAATCCCTTTCAACAAGAAAGTTGGATTCTTTCAATAAGAGTTGGATTCCTAAGAGCTCACTTTGACCAGCATCTTCATATTGGGGACTTGGATGAGCCCACCTCTCTTGCTAGAACATCCCTGCCAGCTCTTCTCTCAGCCCCTGGCTAAGCTAGAGCCCAGAGAGGGGGAAGTAGCCCGAAGGCAAGCAAAGGCTACCCTGTGCCCATCACCTTCTCTCATCCTAACTATCCAAATCTTAGGAAACATTTCCTTCTGCCCGGGCCAACAGGGAACATCAGTCCTCTCCCAGAACAAATTCTACCATCTATGGACTTCTGACCTCCAGAGCTCTCCACCTCTTCTCCTATCCCATCTGCAGAATGAAGCCAAGAAAGGTTGAGCACCAGGGGATGGGTGGAGGTTGGGGCTGAGGTAAGGTAAGCTGACAAGGGAGCATGGCCCTGACAGGATCTCAGGCCCTAATGAGCATTTTGCCAGGCTCCTGTGCTGCAGCCATCTGACCAAGCAGGAAATTGGGACTGATTCCATTCAGATAGCTGCCCCTGACTGACCACACCAGCCAGTGCTGGGCCAGGCGCATGGGCCCAGCAGGTCTGCAGGTTTAGGGAAGGTTCCAGCTGCTCTCAGAGATACAGCCAGTGTCCAGGGGCCAGAAAGACCCAATGAGGGAATGAAGATTACCTTACCCAGTCCCAAAGAAGGACAAATATAAATGGAATCCAGCTATTTCCTCTGCTCAGAGAGGAGGTGGAGATAGGAAGACTTCCTGACCCCCTTTCCACAGGCTAGAGGGGCAATGGAGACTCCTAGAGCAGTCTCAGACTACAGCAGAGGGAGCATGTGGCCAAAAGGCAGAACGGAGATGCAGACTCCTGACGTGAAAGGAGCCAAAAGAGCTAGGGGCTAGAGGGGGTCTCAGGGAGTCACTTCATCCGCCCCCTACCTGCAGGGCAAGCCCAGAGTTCAGTCTCGGCTGGGTCTCACTGCCTTAGGGAGGGCAGTGTGAGTTGAGTGAAGACCTGGACAGGGAAGTCCCCAGGTCCCTGAGGAAGCCCTGCCCTGAGAGGATACTACTCAGATGGAACCACAGGAAGCCGCTTCGCTTCTGTGGGCCAGTTCTGGGCAATCCCTCCCTCCTCCCAGCTTCAAATCTGTAGTGGTGAGGGGCTTCAAGTCAGGGACACATCTGGGTTGCCCAGTCCTGCTCAAGTCAATTGGCAAAGTTCCCTGGGGTGGCCCCCACAGGAGCCAGGGACTGTGGCTTCACTACAGACATTGGGAAGCCCTGGGGGCCCCCACACCCTTTTCCTCCTAGCATCCCACAGCCAGGCTGTAGGAGGCAGACACAGAAGCAAAAAGACAAGAGGTTGGATTTTTTAATTTTCTCTTTTTAATAAAAAGGCACCTATAAAACAGGTCAATACAGTACAGGCAGCACAGAGACCCCCGGAACAAGCCTAAAAATTGTTTCAAAATAAAAACCGAGAAGATGTCTTCACATATTGTATTTATATATTTATATATATATATATATATTTATATAATGGTACAAAATGGCTGAGGGTATGGCCATGAATGAAGGGAGTAGGCTGGCCTGTGGAGTTCACCTTGGAAAGCTAGTCTGGTAGAAGTGGTAGAAAGGGGCTGGGAGGACATGGGCCCTTTGCGGTCTGACCCCTCTCCTCAAGGCAGGAAAACACTTAAGAGTCAGGCAGTATGGGTAGTCTCAGATCAGGGGTGGGGGTTAGTCATGGGCACGGGCCCCAGGTTGAGGCAAAGCAGGCAAGGTGCCTGGCAGGATAGAGAGCCTGGGCCTGGCCCCCAGAAGGTGCTGGGGAAGGCAGGAACCTGCAGCCAGCCCGGAAGAACGTGACCTGACAGTGGACTGAGGACAGCACCAGACGCGGGGAACATGGGGCAATTCCCTTTGTTACAGCTGCCAACGCAAGACAAGGCCCTGCACGTCAAGAAGGCTAGAGACAAGGCCATGACAGAAGACACCCTATCTAGAAGTAGCCTGTGGCCTCAGCCAGGGAACTGCCCCACCACCTCGCAAGGCAGGAAAGGAAGTGAGAAAAGGAGAAGTCTTTATCTCCTGGGGCCAAGGGGCACAAAACACCCAGTTGTGTATGGCTTCAGCTCTCACCAGAGGTGGCGGGGAGCTTTTCTGGGAAGAACAGAGAGCTGAGGGGGAGGCAGTGGCTGAGCCTGGCTGGGCAGATGGATCAGGAACATGCCCTGAACCCTAGGCACAGGGACCTTGCTAGACAGTGGGAAGCTTCCCTGCCCCCCTCCAAAACTTCCCCAATTACATCCACGGGGTGGAGGCTGGGGAGAGGGGGATACAGACTGATTCAGTCAAACCCTCTTCTTCCTCCTTCTGTAAGTAGATGGCAGACTCTGGATGAGCCAGGAGCCTGGTGGTTTACCTGAACCAGGGCTACAACAACAGGCGTAGGACCATCAGGGCCACCACAGGGTCAGTGGCACCATGCCACCCCCTCCATGGCTGCCCCCAAGGGGCCATATAGCCACCTCCTCTTCCTCCTTGTCTTCTTCCCAGACTGGAGACAAAAGACTTCAAGTTCTGGCTAAGATGTAGCAGCAACAGGGGACCCCCAGATGCCCACAATTGGGAAGCCAGGGCTCCATGTAATCATGTGGAGCACACACATGTGCTCCCTGAATTACCACTTAGCAGCAGACAGGCTGCTATCCTGGGGTCTCAGTCCTGCTGGGCTCACCAGGTGGAAGCCTATGGGTGGTCTGATCTCAATTTAGGTGTGGGGCATGGATGTCATTTTACCACTCGGGCAGGGGACAGCAATGGTACCCTTTATTAACCCAGAGAAACTACAACAGTGGAGAGGTGTGTGGGACAGCATGTCCCTGGGTCCAGGGGAATGGCAGGGGCCATAGTTTGAAGACAGGGTTGGGGGGTACTGGGGAGAGGGTTTCTTTTATCCTTTTTGTGTGACTTCTATCAAAACACAGAAATACAGCACACGCACAAACTGGCACAAAAGCGCAGCGCTCTATTTACAGCTCCGGCTGGCACCTGCCCACCTGGCCAGCCGCCTGCAGGGAGGGGTAGGAGAGGAGGTCAGCCACACATCAGCAGGGAGAGGAAATGAGGCAGGAAAAGACACAAGGAAAAGCAAGTGATGGCAGAGAACCAAGAGGAGAAGGGAAGCGGAGCTCAAAGGATGAGGAGAGGAGGGGAGAGAGGAGACAGAGACCTCTCCTGCCCTCCCTCTTCCCCAAAAGCAACAGGACTTCGAAAGCAAAGCTGAAGGAGGTCGGTACAACAAAGGGGAAATAGAGGCGCCATAGGAACTAGGATGAGTGGGAGAGAGGGCAGTCCTGGTGGCCAAAATGGAACCCCAATCCAAAATCTGCCACCCTCCCCCACCCACACTGCCACTTCCCCCTAAGCTGCCAGTATGTCTGGTTTCCACAAATGCCACTCCCCACACAAGCCCCCTCCCACCCACACCACCCCACCCCTCAGCCCAGGCCATCCAACACTGGAGGGAAAGAAACTGTGTCAAGCTTCTCATATTTGTAAATATTGCCCCTGGCTGCAGCTTTTCCAGGGACTGCTAGAAGGGTAGGTTGGCCATACCGCCGGGGGCCGGAAGGTAGCCCATCTGGCTGTCCAGAGACACACTGCGCTGCCGCAGGGGATGGGGCACCATGAGGTTCTGCTGGGGCGGTGGACCCATCAAGGGGCCCTGTGGGGAAAGCACGTGGGGGGGCTGGCTGTACACCTCGCCCCCCACGCCGCGCTGCTTCATCAGCATGAAATTCTGCTGGGTCATGAGGCCTTGTGGAGGGGACATGACCCCCGGGTGCAGGCCGTGGGGCACCATGCCCTGTTGTGGGGGCACACCTGTCCTTCCCAGCAAGGACATCTGTCCGGGGTGGCACATGGGCATGTTGAGCCCCCGCTGGATGCCCTGCTGGCCCTGGAGGTTGGGGGGCCGTGAGGGCGTCTGCTCCGCCATCATGTTCTGCAAGTTCATGAGATGCAGATTGGGGGGCTGGGCCTTGGGGGCTTGGTTCTCACTCTTGGGGAAGTACTGGAGGGTGCTGCTTGGTTTTTCGGAGGGAATGATCCTCGACAGGTCGAACTCGGGGATCCCAGTCGGGGTAGGCCGGATCACCTCACTCAGCTCGGGGTCATTCAGCACGGACGCCACCCCAGGGAGCACGCCTGGTGGGTAGGCATCACCCATGCGCCCAGCCATGCCTTTGCCCATCAAGTGTTGTTGGGGGGGCAGGGGGCCTGGTGGCTGGGTGGACAGGTCCTCGGGAGGCAGGGGCATGCCTGAGGGGTAATGCTGCTGCAGGCCAGGCCCCCCGCCCCCACCCCCACTAGGAGCCATGGCACCATGGGGCTGCTGCAGCCGAGGGGGAAAGGGCATCAGCTGCGAGGAGCTGGGCACAGGGCCGCAAGGGGCATTCAGGGAGTCTGGGCCCCCCGGAGCCATCATCATTGAGTTTTGTGGGGGGCCTCCTGTCCCCTGCGCGTTGGGGTGCAGTGGAATGTTGGAGCCTAGAGGGGTAGGGGAGGGCAACATGGTGGGCGGGGGCTCATGGGACAGGGGCTGCTGGCCTGGCAGGTTCATGCCCATGGGGCTCTGGGCAGCAGCTGAGTTCAGGTGCATCTGGTTGGGCTGGTTGTTGCTGATCCCTAGAGGAAATGAGGAAAAAGAGGGTTAAGAATAGCAAATAGCATATGTGCATAACTTGGGGAGGGTCCTTCCCCACCCAAAGCTGGGTGGGTGCCAGGGGCGAGGGTTTTCACCACACTGGCCTTTCCTGGCTCCTGGAAGGGACTTGAGGCATTTCAACTAACAGCCAAGACCTAAGTTCTTTGGGCTTGCTGTCATGAAATTCTGGTGGCAGTGGGGATAGTGTCACTGGGCTTCACTCCCAAAGCTGGCCTG